GATGTGGAAATGTTGGAGTGTGGGCGAAGGCTGAACAGGGTCCTAGCCCCAGGGCCAGGCAGGGGGGCTCCATCAGTGGCTGTGGGGAGTGAGTCTGCATGGTTTCGGTTTTGCTTTCACACTCTGGACAGTGTGCTGGTGGGGTGAGGGGAGCATCCCCTTGTCTGCACAAGAGCGGTAACTGGGGTGGGAGGTATCCAGCTCTGGTTGCTCTTCCTGCCGCCAGGCCCTGGGCCAGTACGGGGTCCCTACAGGCTGGGAGAGGTTTTGTGATTGGAGTGGGGTTGTGGGCTGAATCTTGGGCAAAGACCCTAGGGAAGGGGAAAAGGCTTGGGGGATGGTGATGGCTGTCTCCATGGCCCCAAGGGACAATTGTAGCTGGAGATGAGTTTTGGCCAGCAAAGAGCAAGGGAGGTGCAGGAGATTCAGGATGCAGCACTGTGTATGGGGGAGGGGAGAAGGAGCCTCAGTAAGTCTGGAGGCCTGGGGACCAGCACTGCGTGTGGGTGAGTGGGAGAGGGACAGTAGGGTGGGACCAACACTGTGTGGGGGCAGGAGGAGAGGTGGACAGTGGGGTGGGAGGCCCGGGGACCAGCATTGTGCACGAGTGGGTGGGAAATGGACAGTGGGGTGGGAACAGCACTGTGTGTGGCTTGGGGAGGGTGGAAGAGGGAGGTGGTCAGTGGGGCCCACTTCAGGGCAGCACTCTGTGCCTGGAGCCCAGGGGTGGGGACCGGGTGAGGTAAGGGCCGAGGGGAACTGGGGATAGGGAAGTCTCAGCATAATTCTGTCCCTGACCAAGGAGTCTTCTGGCTTCCTCTGAGACAAGTCCTCTGGCCTGGCTCTCTTCCCCCAGCCGGGTCTTCAGCATTGGAGAGGCCAGGAGGGAGGGGCTGCGGATCTGGGGAACTTTGGGCAGATTTCCTCTTCTCTGTCTGTGTCCAGATCCTGTGAGTAACTGAGTGAGTATGTGTGTGTGTGTGTGTGTGTGTGTGTGTGTGTGTGTGTGTGAGAGAGAGAGACAGACAGAGATACAGATATCTATCTATCTACCTATCAATCTATACAGAAAGAGAGCTGGAGACAGAGACAGAGACAGAGAGACAGATTCACATATGTGTTTATATATATATGTGTGTGTGTGTGTGTGTGTAGAGAGGGAGAGAGAGAGAGACCTCCTTGGGTCCAAGTGCTTGAGACAGCCCCAGGAGGACTGAGACGGGTGGGGCTGGAAACTGCACTTTGTGAAACATGATTAATTAGAACAACCCAGACACAGGAGGAAGGAGTGGAAGCAGTAAGAGGCAGACTCCCTGAAGCGGGCCCCTCTTTTACAGGTGAGGAAGCTGAGGAGCAGAAATCGCAGTGGCTGGTCGAGGTCACACAGCCCTTAAGGGAAGAGTCTCCCTGCCTGCCAGGCCGGGAACACTTGTCACTTCCAGAGGGCTGGCAGCAACCCTCATCACTGTCCACAGGCACGGGGTGGCGTTCTTTGGTCTTCACGTCCATCAAAGATCTCATTTCTCCATCTTAAAGCAGCATTAAAAATAATAGTCTCACTTCACAGAGTTGATGGGAGAAGTGAATGACGTCGTACACGTAAGGAGCTAGGATCGTGCCTGGTGCATAATAAGCATCCAGTCAACGTTAAGAAACAATAATAGTTAATAATGATGATGAGAATGATCAAAGATGCTGCTGTTTCAGAGGGGACCGCCCAGTGATGCTGAGTCTGATCTTGCCTGGACCGTGCTGAAGCCACAAAGCAGGGCAGTGGTTGGGAGGGAAGGCAGGGGCAGCCACTGGTCTGCCTGCCCCGGGCTCGGGCTTGGTGGGAGCCACAGTGGGGGTCCCTGGGCCCTGCCTTCGAACACCCGGCATGCACTCCCTGGTCTCTTCCTCAAGGTTCCCCTGTGAGTCATGCATGTCTGGAACCCTTACCCTGGCCAGCAGCACAATGGCATCAGCCTGGGAGTCCCCCAAGGGCAGGGCTCTGTCCTGCATCACCGCTTGCTCAGCCAGCCCCAAGACGAGGTCAGCAGAGGCGCTGGCTGCCACGTAACCGCCGGCACGCAGAGCATCTGCTTTCCTCTGTGCTTGTCCACCAAGCTGGCTGCGGGATGCTGACAGCTGAAATGCACGTGGTGCTCCTCGGGGCTGACACACTCTGTTTGCAGCTCTTTATGTGCACGGACACATTTAATCCGGGGAGATGGGCACTGCTCACATCTGCACTTTGCAGAAGAGGAAACTGATACAAGATCTGCCCAGGGTTGTCGCAGAACTTGTGTGCAGTGAAACCAGGATTCCAACCAAGGCAGGCTGGCTCCAAACTCAGCACCCTTATCGGCCACGCTCTGAGGGCACCCCTTTCCCTCCTCCTCAAGGCCTTTGGTGGCCTGACTGAGNCATGCATGTCTGGACCCCTTATCCTGGCCAGCAGCACAATGGCATCAGCCTGGGAGTCCCCCAAGGGCAGGGCTCTGTCCTGCATCACCGCTTGCTCAGCCAGCCCCGAGACAAGGTCAGCAGAGGCGCTGGCTGCCACGTAACCGCCGGCACGCAGAACATCTGCTTTCCTCCGTGCTTGTCCACCGAGCTGGCTGCGGGATGCTGACAGCTGAAATGCACGTGATGCTCCTCGGGGCTGACACACGCTGTTTGCAGCTCTTTATGTGCACGGACACATTTAATCCGGGGAGAAGGGCACTGCTCACATCTGCACTTTGCAGAGGAGGAAACTGATACAAGATCTGCCCAGGGTTGTCACAGAACTTGTATGCAGTGAAACCAGGATTCCAACCCAGGCAGGCTGGCTCCAAACTCAGTACCCTTAACGGCCACGCTCTGAGGGCACCCCTTTCCCTCCTCCTCAAGGCCTTTGGTGGCCTGACTGAGGAATGAGTGACTTGGTTCACTTGAACTCCATGACAGCTCTCCCAGCCTGCCTCTGTGCTGTCATCATCAAAAACCTCGGGGCCGGCCTGTGGCTCACTCGGTAGAGTGCGGTGCTGATAACACCAAGGCCACGGGTTCGGATCCCATATATAGGGATGCCCGGTTCGCTCACTGGCTGAGCGTGGTGCTGACAACACCAAGTCGAGGGGTAAGATCCCCTTACCGGTCATCTTTTTGAAAAAAAAAAAAAACCTCACTGTCCACTTTATTCTGTGATTTCTGTCCTGAGGTCTGATGCTCTGTTTATGCCTTTCCTGGATCCAGACCTTTCCAGGCAGCTCCTCGCGACCCCCACCCCCACCCTATCCATCCACAGCCCCACCCTCCTGCTCCTCCCCACTTTCTGTATTGGACTTCAGAATTCCAGCAACTCTTCTCATTGGCTGTGGAGCAGACCTCTGTAAGAAGCCAGCGAATCAGAAACCTTCTTCTGGGTCACCCCCCCTCCTCCCAGCACCAGGTTAGTTCCCTCCAGAGCAAGCATTTCTGAGCATGAGGGTAGGGGTGGGAATGGGGGTGAAAGGCCCGAGCAGGGAGAGAGACCCTGAGCCCAGTGGAGCCAGGCACGAGGAGAAAGGGGCCCAAGGCCAGATACACCTGATACCACAGTGGCCAACCCAGCATTCTGGCCTGTCCCTTTCTCCCAATTTTGAATTGCTAGGTCCTCTTCCTGGAGTATGTTAAGTATAAAGAATGCCACTTCCAGACTTCCAGCAACTTCTTCCTCACCTCCGTTTTCTCTGCCAGCTTGTGGGCCGTAGGAAGTGGGCATGGGTCCCTATTGTTTACTCTCTGGTGTTGCTCCTGGGTCTGGCTTTGCTCCACTTAGGGCCTGGTTAGAGGGTGCAAGTGGGATGGTGTAACAGCCCGCACTTCTTCCTTTGCCAGAAGCTGCCCCTGACCAAGTTCCAGAAGGGCTTTGAGGCTGAGGGGTTTGTCCACATGGAGGGGTTCTGTGGGGCTCCCTGGGTCCCTGTGATGCTGCCTGTGGGACGGTAAAGAGAACGGAGTCATAGATACCCACTGACACCAAGAAGCCGGCTGCCCCAGGTGACCCTCGGGTGCTGGCTGGTACTTCCAGGGGCTCTGAGCTGGGCTTGAGGACCTGGGTGCATATGTGTGTGGCAAGGTGAGGCAGCAGGAGCCCTCTGGCTTGTCCCTGGCTATTCTGTGATGTGAATGAGCAACAGAGCAAGAATTCGGTGGCTACACTGGGACCAGTTGCCCTTGGGCTGTATCATCCCTGAGACCTAAAGGAAAATCTTTAGTGAGTTTACCGGGAAGGTGTCTGAAGGTGTAGGGGGCTTGCGGCCCAGGCCTCAATTCATTCCTTCCACCAGTCCTGAGCAGAGTCACCTGGGGAGGGGTGACTTCTCTCTGTGTATTCTCCAGTCTCAGATGCTGCCTTTGTCTCTGGGTGCATGTGTCAATTAGAATTAGGTTTGGTTATGAGTGACAGAAAAACCCAAATAATAGTATTTTAAGTAAGACGTTTATTTCTCTGTCACATAAATGAAGTCTGGTGGTATTCAGTCCAGGTTTGTTATGATGGCTCTGCAATCATCAGGGATCAAGGCTCTTTCTAACTTATGGTACCACCAATCTACAACATGGCCTCTACCTCATGGTGCAACACGGCTGCCAGAGCCCCAGCCACCATATCAGCATTGCAGCCAGCTAGGAAGAAAGTGGGAAGAGGGACACACCTCCCTCTCACCTCTGACAAATCATGTCCTGTAACTCACTCGGGATACTTCTCTGCACATCATATCCGGCATGATTTAATCATATAGCTGCATCTAATCTGAAGGGAGGACAGAAAATGTAGTCTTTAGCCTAGGAAGTCATGTGTCAAGCTTAAAATCAGGGGTCTTGTCAC